ACACACACACACATACACACACACACACACACACACACACACACACACACGCACGCACATACACACACACACACACACACACAGGGAGAGAGACCCAGGCGTAGGCGCAGCAGCAGAACACGTACTACGCCAGAGATGGAAAGACAAGACAAAGAACGAGCTTGATCTCGTGACTCCGTACTCACCTTCAGATGCGGATGCTCAGAACCCCGGTCGTCTCAAGCTGATGTGGGATCACAATTAACAATTAAGTGTCCCTTACGTAGCCGCTAATCCATCTTGACGTGGGCGATGGACTCCCGAGTTGGGTGCGCGTGCCCTGATGGCCTGGACGCGCAGTCGCTCCGCTCCGCACCCGACACGCCCGACGCGTGTAGCCCAATGCGGGTGCTCGTGCCGCGCCTGGCTGGGCATACCGGCAGCAAACGATTCGATTCTTTTGGGCCCTTGCAAATTATATTATATCCCGTATTGTGAATAAAACGATGGACACCAAGTACCTAAGAAGTTCCAACATATACGTCCCTGCCCTCCGTGGCGGCGATGATTTTCTGTTTTTCCCAAACTTCAAATTCATTTCAAAATAGAAAAGGAAAAGGCTCAACTCGGGCGGGCGGCAGTGAAGGGCCGGTAGCGCTAATCCGGCGCTATTCCGAACGGCAATTTTTATCGGGAATTTCTGCCTGCACACGGTGAATTACGGTTTCACCATCCCTGACCAGTGACCACCGCCGTCCAACAGTTATTGCCATGGATGATACCTCCTCTCCATCGCCCCACCATAGCCCATCCCATACATTAGCCTCGCTCTACGGGCCCAGCCCAATTGCTGCCGCTTGCTGGCTTTGCCATCCCAGCTGCTGAGATAAGTTGAAGACTTCAGACCAAGACTTCTTACTTACTCCGGCTTTCGAGGTAAATCCTCACCATTAGCAAAGCTTTTGCCCTCAGGCCAACGAATGGGATTTGCCTCTCTCTGTGCCTGGGTAGTAATAGCCCCGGGAAATGAATATGCAGTACTTAATTCTGCAGGTATTACCGCAGTTGAGTAGGACATTTCCTCTACCCCTGCGTTTTACGGTGGCTAAGTAATTACTGTATCCCTCACCCTCCCTGCTATTGCTACTCCAATGTTGAATGTGACCCGAAACGGACATAGATTGTCTACCGCGTGGGCACAGGGAACACAGCCCTAAGGCAGCCGAAGCAATGAGACCAAGAGAGAGAGAGAGAGAGAGA